TAAGCTTTAGTAAAAGTTGTACTGATTGTACCAAAACCTTCATTTGAAAGCAAAAAGCACTAAGTTTTGTACAAAAGTACAAATTCTGACAGCCCTGGTTCTGGCGGTCTACCATTTGGCTGGCATCTACCAATTCTTCAAATGATTCCTTAGCATAGACTGGACACTGGCTATGTACAGGTATCTGATGGTTTGCATACCAGTACTGGTCTGTGGACCACCACATTGAGTAGCACTGACTTAAAGAGCTGAAAATGAATGAAAATCACTATATTGACATAAGAAATTTTTCAAAATAGAATTTGACAATTTCAAACCAAATTTTGCAATTTTTCACCTAAAATTTACTTTAACAAGTTTCATTACTCAAAAATAAATCAAAAACTATTTTTGGTGGTCAGGAATTACTGACAGAATAAAGATATTATATGACTAACTGATGATTTATGTGGCCTATAAGGCAAAAGTAGAATTTAGGAAATATATGTGTCAACACTTTTACTTATTCTAATGATTATATTTTATGTTGACACCAAGAAAATTGGTTGCTAGTGCCTACTGACTTTACTGATATTCTAATCTCTTCCAGTTATTCCGCTAAAATTTCTAGAATAATTTGCTACAATAAAAAATCTAGAATTTTAGAACAATTTTTTTCTACAATAATTTACTGAACTAAATTTATTTTAATGGTAAAAAAGATTGAGGATTAAACTTGTAATTTCTTTTTTCATTTAAGATGGATCAATTTTTATTTACTCTATTTACATTTGGAATATTGCCCTCATCTTTCTTGACGAGGAATAAGTTGTATATAAATAATGTAAATAATGATAGCTCCTCATCCCAGAAATTCAGACAGAAAGCAATCCAGTGATAATAACAAAAAAGATGAGGACATTAATAAAGATAACTTGTCATCTCAGAAATTCAGAGGGAAGGAGATCAGGTGATAATAACAACAAAGATGAGGACATTAGTCTGAATATAAATAATGATAACTGCAGAAATTCAGAGGGAAATGATCAATCCTTTATAATCAGGACATTGTTGTATATTGAAAATCATAAAGCCAAACATAGTCAGTGGCCACTTATTACAGAGAAAATAAAGATTGTTGAATTACTGCAATATTTAAAATATTCCCTTTGTCTTTTGGAGCAGCAACACACGTTTCCTTTTGGTCCGATGGAGGCCAGCTATCTAAGTACTTCAGAGACACAGACTGAACATTCTACTGAACGGTTCATAAGTTCAACTTCAGTTTTTCTTTATTCTTCTGTGACATGTCTTGTTAATACAGTTATTAATTTTTGTTTGTTTGAATTCCATGTTTTGTGTCTAGTTTTTCACATGAATCTGCCAAATCTTGTTTGAGGAACAAATGTACCAGAATGATGATACTTTCCATTTTTGCAACAAGATATTGTATGTCTATATTTTTGAGATGAGGTATTATGTACATTATTTACATTATTCGGACTATTGTCATCATCTTTGTCGCTGTAGTTATCACAACGTTTCGAAATTCCAACCACCTGAAGAAGGCCGGAGTGTACAACGGCCGAATCATTGTGATAAATATGGCGACAAAGATGAGGACAATAGTCCGAATAATGTAAATAATGAAGATATTGTATGTATAAATATCACTTTGTGTCATGACTTGATGCATTAAGATATACAATAAAATAATAATAATAAACATATTGTAGAAAATATTAAAAACTAAAACAGTTATTAATCATAATGAAAGAAAGAGATTATCACATTATACAAACAAAATAATCATATTGTTCTAGGAAATATTAAAAATCAAAAAGGTTATTAATTATAATACAGGGAGGCAATCTGATTATATAAACCAAATAAACATCAAAAAATATTTACAAATAGAAAAAGGAAAGTTGTCTGATTTTTACAAAGACCTTCTTCTTGATGAAGAGTATTCTGCCATAAAATCCTTTGACTGACAATTCCACTTGTAAGTAAAAAATATATTTGTATAAGAAGACATTTTTAAAGATAAAACCTTCCAAGTTTGCATATTGGTCAAGTATAATTGCTTGGCATTTACAATTAATTTTGATGAGAAGAAGCGCAAATTTTGAACGTTAGCTTGACTTAAATTTTATTCTTAGAAAAAATAATTTTATAATTCTCCTTAAATCTTTTTTTAAAACTGTTAGAATTATATTATTATTTAATATGATTTAAAATAAATATTTAAAATATATGATGTATTCTTTTTTTTAAATTGTTTGTGTGGTGATGACTTGGGCTTATGGCCACATCATGTTGAAACACAGGTTCTAGTATGATCACCAAAGTTAAGCAATGTTGAGCCTACTCAATAACTAGATGGGTAACTTCTTGGTAATACAAGATGCTGTAAGATTGGATATGCCCCATAATGTTGAAAGACTGGTTTCTGTATGATCACTGGTTAAGCAACATCAAGCCTGGTCAGTACCTAGATGAGTGACTGCTTGGGAATGCCAGATGCTGTAAGCTTGGATGTGCAGGTGGTGTAATGGATAATAGCTTGAAATTGTTAATCGGAGAGAGCCAAGTTCAAATTGCTGTTTGGTTCATTATATTCACTTACACACAAATACTCTTGGGAAAGGCATGAATCCACATCTTTTTTCCTACAGCTATAGATCAATTAATAAAACTTGTATCACTAAACCATTATTATCTCCAAAAATAATAAAAAAATTCTTACAATCTAAAAATATATTCTGGCTTTAGATAAACTGCCAAGGGTTGATAAATCATAAAAAATGAATGGATGAATCAATCATTCAGAAATATACATCTGTATCATGGAGTCCAATTTCATTAATATGTAACTCATACTTTTGCATTTCTCTTTTGCAAACAACCTGGGCCAGAGCACACTATTCCTGAATCCCCCCACAACTCTTTGTGAGCCTCACTATCTTATGAACATTTGCTTTTTTCTACCTACATTTATATACGTTACAAATTAAATTATGCACAACTGACGATTAAAGGATGAAAATTTTTTGAGGATGTTGATGTCATTTTGGGGCCATTTTGATGTCATCTGTGAGTTTGTTTTGTTCATGATAAGTCTCAAGAAAGCAATATAAAATGCACTATTTTTTATCCATAATGTCGAATGTGTTAAAATTATACAACTTTTTAACAAGAAAAGTTAATGTTAAAAATTGTAGCAAAACATTATTGATTTATTTAATGATCTATTATGACATTGGAATGATCCATTATGACATTGGAATGATCTATTATGACGTGTCTGTAATTTGCATTTAGATACATTGTATTTATTTTCAAGTTTTCTAGTTGAATTGTTCATCTATATTGCGTATCTATAAAAAGAATACCCGCTCGGCCTGGTGGCTAGGATCAAAGTGTAGTATCTGCGCTTTGTGAGCTGTCGGGTCGGGTGTCTGTCAAACTCTCTGCTTGCAGAGAGGAACCCGGACGAAGCTCCGCCGAAGGGTAGGGTTTCGTTGGGGGAGGTTGACGGAACTGGCCCGCCTCGGCAGGTTTGGATTGTTATTTATTTTTGGCTGGGCCTACGGGCTCAGAGATACCCACATTAAAAAGGCCTTGTGCCACATTCGATCCCCGTGGGTGGATTGATAAATACCATCTATATTGCGTATGATCCATTATTGTACATAATTAGATTACAATAACATTTGTATTTTATCTGAACACTACCTTATGAAAATTAAGATTTAGTAGTGTAGGGGAGCTGTATCATAGATTCAGCAGAAGGTAAATCATAGATTGGTTGGGTGGGGACAAGAGATCCTTGCACCAGCTCTGCAAACAACCCTGCAGTTTGCCTTCTTATTCCTAATAAAACATTTTTTTTATTGTTTCCATTAAGCAATGTCTTAAAACAAATAAATGTCCAAAACAACCTCAAGTCTTTTGTTAATTGGGGCAAAAGATGGCTTATTAATTTTAATACCACCAAAACTTCTTCCATTAATCATTTGAAAGACCTCTTTCTGCCTTCCATCAGCATGGCTGATGCTAACCTCCAAAAGAGAGACTCGTTGTGCCTTCTTAGGCTCATGTTCTCAGCAGACATTAAATTGGAAGACTATATTGAATCCATTGCTAAATCAGCACCTAAGAAAGTTGGTTCACTGTGTCGTCCGAGACAATTTTTCTCTCCAGAATCTATCTTACATATCTATAAGTCTACCATTCGTCCATGCTTAGAATATTGTGCCTTCTTGGGCTAACGTTCTTAGCTGACATGAAGTGAAAAGACTATATTAAATCCATTGCTAGGTCAACTGCTAAGAAAGTTGGTTCACTGTGTCGTGTGAGACAATTTTTCTCTCCAGAATCTATCTTACATATCTATAAGTCTACCATTCATCTATGCTTAGAATATTGCTGTCACATATGGTCCAGTGACCCTGCTATTTACCTTGAGCTTCTTAATAAAATCCAAATAAGAATCAGCAATATTATTGGTCCTGATCTGGCAGCTCAGCTTCAGTCACTTTCCCATTGCTGTAAGGTTGCCTCTCTGTACATTTTCTATAAATACTTTCATGGTAATTGTTTGGATGAGCTCTTCACCATGGCACCAAGACTTTTTGAATTTAAATGCAGTTCTAAACTGGCATCAAGATCTCACAATTGAGCTAGACAGATGTAACCATAAATTCTATGCTAATAGTTCTTTTTCTTGCACTTCTCTCTTGTGGAACTCCCTTCCAGCTCATTGCTTTTGTGCCAGCTTTAATCTGCAAAAATTTAAATACAATGTCAATTGCTATCTACTCTCCTCCTGATTATTCTTTTCTCTTCCTGCTCATTGTTAATGTTTCTGTTCCTAACTTTTCCACAACCCGCAAACCTTTGTGTCTTAGTGGTTTTACTGCCTTGCATGGGGTGAAACCGACTAAAAAAAAAAAAATAAATAAAAAAAAATAAAAAAAATAAAAAATAAATTCTCTTTTTTTTTTTATCATTAACAGACACAGATTCACAAATGTGTATGATATATCAGTCAATGTTGAACCAGGTAAAAATATTGTATTCAACCTGACATACCAGGAACTTCTTCAGCGGTCTCTAGGAAAATACAGACATGTTATTCATCTGATCAACAAAGAAATAATCAACAATTTCTTGATAGAAGTTTTTATCAGCGAACCTCAGGATATTATTGATATTCAGATCCCTAAGATAAAGTCAGATGAACTGGAATCACCAACACAACAGACAGAAGGTAAGAGTATAAACCATTCATGTCAGATACATGCAGTCCATTTCACTTTCAAAATTGCCTGCCTAATTTTATCTATATATAATATTCTGTAACTTCTGTTAGTCAATCCATCTGTTGAACCATGGTACAATAAATTTTCATTCATTTTTTGGCAAAATTAACAGTTTTATTATTTAGCATAAAATACTCCCACTAATTTTAAAACAATTCAATGATTAAAATAACAAATATTTATTTAATGAAAATGCAATTTTTCTTTTTTGCATATCTTTGCTTTAATTTTTTATGTATAAGAATCCAGTTTCCAGTTCACCATGTTTGCAAGAACTATAAACAAATCATAAGGCCAAATGCTTCAAAATCTGGCTCCAGAAAGAAATATTTACTCATGGCCAGTTGTATGTTGCATGCTCAAGAGTAAGAAATCCTAAGAAATCTTAGCTACTAAAAAAGAAAAAAGATTTTTTTAAAAATATTGTTTACCATGAAGTCCTATAAATTATATAAATTAAAGAAATTATTAAACCATGAAGTATGGTTTTTGTCACAGTATTTACTCCCAAAAAATCACCGTATTCAAATTTCATTGATTGTTTTGCAAAATTTGTAAATCTCAACAAAATGTTAGCAAGAACTTCAACAATATGAAATACTGTGAACATTTCAACGTGTCAGTGTTGCTAAATAATTCTAGCAAGGAAAATAATGTTTATTAAAATTTTGTTTGTTTTCTTTCATTCTCACTTGTTCACTCACATGTTCTCATGCATAATCATAAGCATTTATAGGTCTGCAATTCTTGTACACTTATAAGTCTGCCATTCATTCATTCATGCATTGAACATTAATGTTGCATCTGTCAGTGACAGCCCTAGGGTTACTGGCACCCTGGACAAGATGAACTTTGGCATCCTTACATGTATAATTTTTAAAACTTTTCACAAGGATATAAACTGAAAATGTAGAACAATAAATTTATTACAATATACACCTTAATACGAGCTAAAAAGAAACATTCATTATCCTACCTAAAACATATTTTCTAGCCACTTTTTATACCTATATTCTTTACAAGATCATTTTCTATTGACAAAATAGCCAAAGAATTTAATCTGCTTTGAGTCATGGATGACTGCAAGTATGTTTTTATAAGCTTCATTTTTGGAAGATCCCAAACAAATGGCATGGCAGCATGATGGCACCCTCAGCCTTGATGGTGCCCCAGGTGACTAAGTTGCCAGTATCTTGAGCCAGCCCTGGCTTCTGGTCTGGTGCATGTGCATCTGCTATGCATTTAGAGATTCTTGATAAAATTCAAAGTAAATTTGCAATGTTATCAGTCCTGGCTGATGATTAAGTATATATAATGTTTGTTATATTCCATGCTAATAGGAATATATACTTGAAAAACAAGGTGGATAAATTAAGTAAAGGTTTATTGTAAAAAAACCAGTACAATAAGAATAAAGATAACAGTTATGCACAAGTTCGTCGCAAGTCAATCCAGTAGTGAGTGCTACTATTGGAAGGTTGGTAGTTCTTGCGTAAATCTGAGTTGTACTCAGCAGATCCCAGCTAAACTCTGTAGTTTGTTGACTTACACATACTTATAAGTAGTTACTGCCTATAGTGTAGTCACTCATGGGGGTGACAGGTTACTTAGAAAGAAATGACTATTGACATTGCATTTAAATTTTTAAAGATCTTAGTTAATACTAAAGCAGGAAACTGGAAGAAAGTTCCACAAGCAAGAAGTGTGAGAAGAAAGAATTAGCATAAAACTTACAATTACATCTAATCATTTCAACTGTAAAAGAATGAGACCTTATTGCCAATCTAGTACTGTGCTTAAATTTGTAATGTTATGGTGCCGACTAGGAAAGCTCATCAGAACAATTACCATGAAAGTATTTTTAGAAAAATCAAAGGGAAACTAGGTTGTGGCCATGAAAAAATGACTGAAGCTGAGATGCCAAGTCAAGACTGATAATATTGCAGATTCTTCTTTGGATTTTATCAAGAATCTCTAAATACATAGCAGAATCACCAGACAATTTTTCACTTCAAAATCTATCTTACATCTATAAGTCTACCATTTACCCATGCCTTGAATATTGCTACCAAATATGGTATGATGCTCCTGTTATATATTTAGATATCCTTGATAAAATCCAAAGAAGAATCAGCAATATTATTGGTTCTGACCTGGCATCTCAGCTTCAGTTACTTACCCATTACTGTAAAGTTGCTTCCTTGTCCCTTTTCTATAAATACTTTCATGGTAATTGTTAAAATGAGATCTTTGCTATGGTACCTAGACTTTATGAATTTAAGTACAGTACTAGACTGACTATGAGATCTTATCAATTTACAGTTGAGCTGTCTAGATTTAATCATAAATACTATGATAACAGTTTCTTTTCTTGCAATTCTTGCTTGTGGAAATCACTCCCAGTTTCTTGCTTTCAAGTCAAGTTTGATCTTCCAAAATTTAAATGCAATGTCAATCATTTTCTACTGTCGTCTTGATTACTCTTCTATTGTTCTTGCTGCTTAATAAAGTTTCTGTTTTCTCATTCTTTCCCACCCAGTAACCCCATGTGTCTTAGTGGCTTTACTGCCTTGCATGGGGTGAATTTAATAGAAAAAAAAAATTTCGAATAAAATTCTAATATTAGAAGCAAAAATCTTTAACTTTTTAAATCCTAAAAAAGAAACAACAGATAAGTGTAATATTTTTATTGTTATCAGATGTACTGCATTTCTGGGATGAGGCATTATCATTATTTAAATGTGGACCATTGTGTTCATCTTTGATGCAATTATGACAATGTTACAGCCATTGTGCCCCAGGGCCTACGTCAGATATTTGTTGATCTAAGAGAGAATTTCAAACTGAATTCTTTATTTAATCTAAATGAATTGTTCTCATTCTGCTGACCAGGTTTAGTGACATCTTGTCTATTTCTTATTGTTTGTCCCTTTTCCCTGAGTTATTTTCTACAATAATATTCACCCTGTACAAGGCCCAAGAGCCACTCGAGACAGAGGGTTACAGAGTAAGAGGCACAGTTTATGGGGATATGTGGGGAAGATAACAGTTAGCCCTGGACTTGAACAGGTTAAGCTTATACTGATCAGGGAAGCATCCTCTTGAGAACTGGTTTCACAAAGCAGTGGTTAAACCTGAAGGTTTCCTGAGAGCAGTAGTCTAATATTATAGTGCTTGTGGTGTTTGTGAATGTGCTGTCTAGTTCCACTTTGTTCAGAAAGCAGCATGTAATCCTGTGTGAAATTTGTATCTGATGAAAGCTAGGGGCATAGCAAACGAAACATCCTATTGTAATTGTGCTTGTCCTTGCCTTCATTAGTTCACATGACTCTTTTATGCCCTGCCAATATTTCCTAAATAATGGATTATTCCGTTTTGAGCATGTGGAAAGAAGGAAAAAGACACTACTTGGTTTCAGTGAGAAAATGAAAGAAAGGAATAAAAAAAAACATTAACTTCAAGTCCAAATACCATGGCAACCATTATAAAGGTACAATATTCCAGATGCACAGAGTATCAAACAAGGGAAACTGAGGAGGGCAATCATCAAAAATCAAGTTACCATAAATAAAATAATATTGTTGAATTATTTTTAAATTATTATTAAGAGAAATGTTCATAAGACAGGGATTTGGATAGAAAGAAAGAAAGAAAGAAAGAAAGAAAGAAAGAAAACAGAAGATTAACAGTTAAAACAGACATGAGAAAAAAGTTATTTCAAGAATGAAAAAAGAAAGAAAGAAAGAAACAAACAAACAAAGAATGAAAGAAGGAAGAATGAAAGAAAGAAAAGAAAGAAACAAACAAAAAACAAACAAACAAACAAACAATGAAGAAAGAAGGAAAGAAAAGAAACAAATTAAAGAAGGAAGAATGAAAGAAAAAAAGAAACAAACAAACAATGAAAGAAGGGAAAAGAAAAAAAAACAAACAAACAATAAAAGAAGGGAAGAATGAAAGAAAGAAAACAAACAAACAAAACAAAGAAAAGAAAGAAAGAAACAAAGAAAAGAAAAAAAAGAAACAAACAATGAATGAAAGAAGGGAAGAATGAAAGAAAGAAACAAACAAACAATTAAAGAAGGGAAGAATGAAAGAAAGAAACAAACAAACAAACAATGAATGAAGGAAAGAAAGGAAACAAAACAAAAAAGAAAGAAAAGAATGAAAGAAAAAAAAAAAAAAAACAAATGAAAGAAGGGAAGAATGAAAGAAAGAAAAAAAACAAACAATGAAAGAAGGGAAGAATGAAAGAAAGAAAGAAAGAAAACAAACAATGAAAGAAGGGAAGAATGAAAAAAAGAAACAAAAAAAACAAACAAAGAATGAAAGAAAGAAAGAAACAAACAAACAATGAAAGAAAAGAAAGAAAGAAAGAAACAAACAATGAAAGAAGGGAAGAATGAAAGAAAGAAAAAAACAAACAAACAAACAAACAAGGAAAAGAAGAAAGAAAAGAAACAAACAAACAATGAAAGAAGGGAAGAATGAAAGAAAGAAAGAAAAAAAAAAAAACAATTAAAGAAGGGAAGAATGAAAGAAAAAACAAAACAAACAATGAAAGAAGGGAAGAATGAAAAAAGAAAAAACAAAAAAACAAAGAATGAAAATGAAAGGGAAACAAAGAAAACAATGAAAGAAGGGAATGAATGAAAAAAAAGAAAACAAACAAACAATGAAAGAAGGGAAGAAAGAAAGAAACAAAACAAACAATAAAAAAGGGAAGAAGAAAGAAAGAAAAAAAAAACAAACAATGAAAGAAGGAAAGAACAAAAAAAAAGAAAGAATGAAAGAAAGAAAGAAACAAAGAAAGAAATAAAAACAAAAGAAGAAAGAAGGAAGAATGAAAGAAAGAAAAAACAAACAAACAATGAAAGAGAAAGAAAAACAAACAAACAAACAATGAAAGAAGGGAAGAATGAAAGAGAAACAAACAAACAATGAAAGA